ACGATGTATTACCCTAATAGGTCAGAATTTCAGATATTTTGGCTTTATGGCATGCTTGGAAAGGATAACCTACTGTTTAGGACATAGGCGAAATAAGAATCTTAGTAGTACATATTCTTCGTGTGTCGATCGGCCTATAGTTTGTCTTCTCACCGTGTAATTTCAATAACCGCTGAACCGATTTTAATAATTAGGTAACGATATAGTTAGTATAGTTTCGAATTATTGCATTTTCAACTGCGGGAATTTTAACAGTAGGTGATAAGTAACTTTTCTTTCTGCCGTCTTGCATCCATTTATTATTCATTCGGTGATATTTGGCCCGTTTATGATAGTACTGATCGGAATTTAGTGAAACTTTTATTAGGGTTACTACCATGCTGACCTTGAAAAAGGTTTTTGGGTCTTGAAAATCAGTCCTGTTTGGGGATTATAAGCCAACAAATGAAAACCTCAGATCGTCCTCAAAAAGTTCGTTTTTCAATAATTTTCCTGTTTTTGATGATTTTTGGTCTTAATTAAAGATATTTTATATGGTTAAAAATGTTTATTCATCGAAATCTCTTAATAAATCTATATCAAGGCATAGGAAGTACTAAATCAATCTGATTGACTCCATTTTTACCTCTGGTTATAAAGTGCGGACTGAAAACAAAAAAAATGATCATTTTTGTATATACATATTTCAAGATTCAACGGATTTCAGATCAAAAAAATAATAACAGCCTCCGGTGGGATCAAAATTTTAAGGAATATGCAAGTTTTAGTGCCTTGCACCTTCCGATGTTATAATTTCTATATGTGCAGAGTTGTTTTGAAATATATTTATATTATAATATATTTATATAGTACTCCCTGAAAATAACTAAAACCTCAAGTAAAATCGCATCAATGGTATTTTTACATTTAAACATTTTAAACCTTTTTTCTTTGTGTTTTACTATTTGATTGTTTTTAAAAGCCCAAAGGTCGCACTTCTGGTGTTTTGTCCAAAATTAACTTATTTTCGAATACCTAACTTACTATTATTTATTTATTTAGCAACATCCAACAGCCATAACCCATTACAGGATGGATAAACATGAAAATATAAACAAATGCATGTAGTGGATGTATATAGAGAAAGCTAAAACGCTGCAAAAATACCTCAAAACAGAACTGCGAGGAAAAAAAAGCGTTGTAGCTTTACCTACCCAGCAAATCTCACCGGCAAACATTAACGAAAATAAGCATTAATGTCTCCCAAAGTCGGACAAAACCAAAATATATCAAAAACGCTATTAACTGAATTATAATTACGGCACATTATATAGATAGGGGAAAACTTATGCATGTCAGTCCTAGGCCTAGCTAAGTAAAAAGTTAAACTAGTTCGTGACGCTAATCTAGGAATTAAGAAGTTAAGCTGTTCTCAGATGACACTGGAGTCAATAAAGCCATGGATGAGCTTGTGAGTGAACTTAAGTGAATTCTTTTATCGTCTGCTGTCTAAATTATAGATTTTGTGTCTCACCATCAACTCACTATGAGGAAAGTCAATAGCAGGATATATCCCGTCAGCTTTGTATGAGTGGTATTTTAAAAACTTTCTTTGAACGGACTCTAAGCGGTCAATATATATTTGATGATGAGGATACCATACAAGGGACGCATACTCAAGCTTAGATCTTACATAAGCGTAGTACAGTATTTTCAGTGTAAAGGTTTTGTGGATATCACCAGTATTTCTTACAATAAAACCATACGCCTTTGATGCAGTCACAACAGCATTTCCGATGTGATGGGAGAAGGAAAGTTTTCTGTCAAATGTGACTCCCAAGTCATTAATTGTGTTAGGTCTGTCAAGTTTCCTGTCACCAATACTATATTCATACATCATTACCCCTGTGTTTAAAGTAAACGACAAAACGTGACACTTAGCAGCATTCAAAACCAGTCTGTTTTCACGACACCAGTTGTCAACCCTTACAATGTTGCATTGCAAGCGATGACAATCGTCAATGTTAGAGACTCTACAGAAAAGTTTCGTATCGTCAGCATATATAAGATCGACATCGATAACTTCAGAAATATCATTTAAGAACATGATAAAAAACAGAGGTCCCAAATTAGATCCTTGAGGCACACCGGACATTACAGGGTATTCGCTTGACTTATGTCCATTGCACATAATGAAATAAGTAAGATCTGAAAAATAGCAACAATACATCTGAAAGACCAAATCTAGATAACTTATTAAGTAGGATGTTATGGTCTAAGTCTAAACTATCAAACGCTTTAGAGAAATCAGTAATTAAATCCGTTTGAAGTTGTCTATCGATTGATTCACAAACATATTGAGTAACATGTAGCAAGTTGGTAACTGTGGACCTGCCCTTCATGAAACCGTGTTGACTGACGGAGATAGACCTGCTTACATGGAAATGTAGCACAGTTTGTATCACTATTTGGAATGTTTTAGCGAAATTACTGATAATTGTGATAGCCCGATAGATTTCTACATAATTCCTCTCACTTTTTTAAAAACAGGAGTTGCCCTAGACAACTTCCAAATAGATGGAAAGTGATTATTTTTCAGAGAGAGATTGAAAATGATCATGAGTGGACTTGTTAAAATGAACGCACAATCTCTCACAAAAATTGCAGGTATTTGATCAGGCCCTGCAGTCATTTTTGGCTTAATTTTCTTGAGCGCCTGTAGCACATCGATTTCCTGTACCCTAGACATAGCTAGTGTAGTAGTGAAATGGTAGTCAGTATAAAAATCAGATTGAGCTGTTGGAGTATTAAAGCTCCCACTAAAGTGTTCCGCAAATGCTACATCATTAGGTGTATTCAACCCCAGCCCATTGAACAGCAGATCCTTCGGAATACCAGTGCAGTTTCTTTTTCTATTAACAAAGGACCAGAATTTGCCGGAGCTATTGGATATTTCACGCTCTAAAGAGTGGATGCAGCGACGATATGAAACAGCTACATGTTCCTTCATCTCTGAGCGAAGTCTTATAAATTTTTCTATATAAAATGTATCACCAGTGTGTCTGAAAGTCTTGAATGCCACCATTTTTTGCTTGAGGGTTCTAATGATAGGGCTGTTGTACCAAGGAGGATACCTATTATTATAAGATATTCTAACTTCAGGAACACAACAATCAAGAATTTTATAGATCTCAGAATAGACATAATTATTAACAAGCTAAATCAACGTCACTAAAATTTCTCAAATCGTCACAGCTAATATTCAGAATCATTTCATAGAGCAGCTGAAAGTCAGCTTTCCTAAAATTATATGAACCTTTAAAGTCGCTATGCAACACGTTATTATGTAGAGATGTACATGTTAGTGGGTTTGTGTTCAAGTAATTATTAAATGTACCACCATTTTTTAGTATGTTTTATATTCTAGGGTTATAAAATACTCGTCAGGAGCTTCAATATGATCTGCCACAAGACCCCCGTTTTCATATAACTTTTTTCCAAGATAGCGCCCAGCGGCCATCTTGACATTTTCATGTGTCAATTTTATTCTAATATATGGTATCCAAGCATCAATTTCAACATACAACCAATATTGAATTGAAACATTGAGCCAATAAACAAAGGCCGTATTGGTTTGATATTGCAAATCAATATTGTACCAATGTATCCAAATGTCCACATTTTTTCTTGCGCCAATGTTGGAAAATTGGCTTGGACCAATGTATCCGTAATATTGTTCCTATATTGGGACAATATACGTGTGCGACTTGGGTATAGATCCTGAACCTTTCCACATTCTACGCGGCTAGGATCAACAGTCACGTCATTCTGTTATATTCAGCTCTTTGGGCCTTCTCTACCTGGATAAATGAATATCCGACCTACACTGCTTTTATTTGGCTTTTGTTACTGTTATTGGGATAAAAGACGGCTGTAGCTGGAGTCTTTTTATGGATAGTCGATCACACGCAGAGGTGACCCTGTATCTGCCAGAGGGAGCCCTCAGACTCCTGCTTGCCGCCAAGTTCAGAATTTCTATTTTAGGATATCGCCTAATTTTTGTGATGTTATAAACACCTCTGCAAAAACAATCGGTCGCACCCATGTCCCGATCTATATACCAATAATGTATAAATAAAGCACGGCGGCAGAGAAGAAGCTGAAGAAGAAGAAGACGACAATGGCCATTGTGTGCGTCTGGCTTCTTCTTCTGCTGCTGCTCCACGTTGCTGGTTGACAGCGTGATGTATGGCTCTACTCACTTTTGGCAGGCCCGCCGTCCGGCCGTCCATTTGGCCCGCCGGATCACGATAATCAGCCCGCAGCAGGACTTTTTTCTCCTTCCGCCGCCTCATCCCGTGCTCCCGTTCTCTCCGAGACCAAGATCGTCATTTGTTTGGTGACGGACGTCCCCCAGACGGTTTTTTCCAAGCTGACTTGAACTCAGTATAGCAAATAGTACGAGAGCTTACACCGGGTGTTTCAAATTCGACTTTCGTCACTGGGATCTCGCAAAAAGCTACGGAATCGGTAAAACCATTCATATTATTTAAGGGTAGTAATGAAAGCAATCAAAACGGTATAACTATAAAAACTAATAGAACCACTCCAGAGAGAGTAAAAGGCTCGACGATGTTTCAGGTTGCTATTATGCTGTACGACACGCTTCATATCCGTCATATCTAAACCGATGCAAAATATGTTGCTTTTAAATAATAGATATATTCAGTGACGTAAGAAGTGTTACAACCAGAAAAAATAATTTCTTAAACTGTTTTCTTTTGCAACATAATGACCAGTGGCGGCTCGTGCCAAAATAAAACAGGTGTTCTGCAAATCCGAACTTACCTATTTTTTATATGTCAGTTCGATGCTGCGCTCCTTCTTGGCAGCAAATTTGTCGATCACCTTCCCGTTCAAATTTTCCATGGTCGAAATAAATTCCTTTTCAATGAATAGCATCGATAATTCTGTAAGGCGATCCTGAGTCATAATATTTCGAAGAAAGGTCTTGATTCTTTTCAATGTTGAGAAATTTCGCTCAGCCTCTGATTTTGACATAGGAGTTCTAACAATAATTTCTAATAGTTTTTTTGTTTCTTTTAGTGTTTCCTCCAAACTATTTTGTATCAAAAATTTCAAAAGAGACAGAGTTCCATGTAAATCTCGGCAATCATTCCGTGCATAAATAACATATAACTCTGTCTTTAAAGGACTTTTTTCTAATTCGGAATAAGCCAAGCAGGTAGTTTCCAACTTGCCATCAGGAAACTTACCACAGTATTCTCCAATGTGTTCGACGAAAAAAAGGGATGCGGCTACCAAATGATCTTTGAATTGAAATCTGTCATTTGCAAAATTCACTATATTGTCGCATACTTCTAATGCAGCAACTCGGTGATCGTGACTGCTATTATTACGTCGTCTCCTTTTGATGCCTTGGGGTTCAGTGCAAATACTTTTGGCTTCATTTATTATGTCATCAATTTTATTTCTCACATCGACAATACATTTTTCAAAATTATCGATAGCTGTTTTAACTTGCGCTGGCTCGGTTTTTCTCTTCTGCAACTGGTTGAACAAGATGTCGACGTGAGGCATGACATGATGAAAAAATGTCAACCAAAACACGAAAACAGAATCGTTTGACATACGGCGAATACCGCAAGCTGCCTTGCAAACGGTTTCATTAGTGAAATTTTCTTCTATTTCTTCCATGCATTCAATGAGTGATTCTCTGTTCTCAAGCATTACATTTATTGTTCGAATATTAAAATTCCAACGAGGTGTTGCTCCTTGGGAAATTTTTTTCCTCACAATTCTGTTCAGTACCTCTACGCGTTGAGGAGAATTATTAAAAAATCCGGAATATCTTTCAAATCCCCAAAGAACACCCGAACCTGAGCATTTGCGGAAGCAGCTTGGGACATAATCAGGTTTAACGGATTATAACGGATAACGGATTTGTGTGATAACATGGAAAATAAATAATGATAAAACTACTACTGCTTTTTCCTGTTAAGACAAAAGCTTTGGCAGTTCTGCAACTCTGCAGAACTTAAGGGCCAGCCGCCCCCGATAATGACTATATTTGAAGCTTGCTGTGGCAACAATGTCAATGCTTTATCTTTGTTTTTGTTTACCTTTATTAAAATGATATCTCTTAGTTTTTTATTGTGAAGAAATCAGTTTCTAAAAGCTGAGTAGTACAGATATATTTAGTTTGAATGAGATGTCACAACCAGTCATCGATCATCTCATTTTGTCGATGCCTCGACGTATACAGAAGCGTATTCAGCTGAGTCGCCCAACACATTATTTTTTTTTATTACTTGTCAAAAAAATGTGTGAGAATGTTACCGTTTCATTCTTGTTGTAGAACAACATTATTGCCAAAAATTGAAGTTGAAGAAATTATTTGCAGCTTGTGTGTAATTTTTTTAATTACAATTCAGTGTTTTTGTCCATATCGGTATAATTGTCCAATACACTGATTTGTCAATATCAGTGGTGGATTTAGGAGCGGGGGGCGCGCACCCATTGACGTCTGACACTTGCTTTTGTAATCTAACACCACTGTGTTACTTTCTGAGTATTGCGATTTTATGGTATCCTTTGGTAATCCAAACGCTGTACCTCGTTGACATCAATTACATTTACAGCACAATTTTTACGATTTATACGTATGTATATACGAGTATTGTGACTTTTGCCATAAATCTAACTTCGACAACAAAAGTCTGAAGAATAACTGTAACATCTATATTGAATCTAAAAAAAAATACTATACCTATTGATATTTTTATCACCTGCTGATATTAGTATTTGCACCAATTACTTGATTTGTTTAACGGGCAGTTCAGGGTCTTAATCCTTCACACTAGTAGATCCCGTAGCACAATTTGTCTCTAGGCAGTCTGGAGACGGTCTCAAGACACGATCTATAGATGGACTATAGACATCCTTCTTTGTCTCGTCTATCGTCCTTGCGATAGTGTATATTTTTCAGTCTTATGTTCGTTTTCGCCATCAAAGACATTGTTTTGTGTGGAATGGACTGGGATATGTCCCTCAGAATGTTCTATTTATTTATTTACTTTTTTGGTTAACAGAGCAAAAAGTTTTTTGTTTTAATCTTTAACATTATTACACTAGTTAATTATAAACACCACATACTTATTTTATTCTCATATAATAAAATATTGCCCTTCTGAGGTTTTCTGAGCATTTTACATGTTTTTTTTTTCAAGCTTTCGTTGACCAGACAGAACACAATGGAATTAAGGAGAAATAATAAGATAAATTCTAGAAGTTCCACTGAGATTGAAAAATTACCAGCCCCAAATATCGTTTGCGCCCCCCCCCCCCCCCTCTAGACGACACTCTGAATCCGCCCTTGGTCTATATGGAGGTTAATAATAATAATACTTTTTTGGGTCCATATTGGGTATCCACTCAGGGTCTATCTTACTACACTACACGATTTTTGAGATATTATTCAATAAGTTATCGAAAAACGTTCTTTCCACTCCATTTCTTTATTTGAGTTCTAAATCTCGATACTGATATTAAATTATTTCTAAGATTCAGAGGCAGCATATTGTTTAATTTTCGTGCAAGATACGAAAAGTGTCCCACAGATTTATTTCTTCGAGAGATCCCATAGCAATGTTGCTTGTGACCTGTTTGATAAGCAGAAGAAATACTTTGCAATTTAATTTTGCCTGCATGGATATTCTTTAGTATAGTAAAACAGTAGATTTGTCGTATATCAAGAATGGCAGTTTCGGTGTATAACAGATTCATGGGATGCTATTTTTTTCTCATATATTACTTTTAAAATCCATTTTTGCAATACCTCAAAGTCTTTTAAACGTGTGTTGTTACTCCACCCGATGATTCTATAAGACAGCTGTGATTGGAACAATGTTGTGTACAGTATCTTTAAGTGATATTTGCTCAGGGAATCTTTCAGAAGCTCGAATCTTGGAATCAGGCCTCTGAATTTTTTGCAAATATATGCAGCGCGTAAATTCCATCTTAGGTGCTTGTTCACCATGACCGAAAAGTATTTCATACAGTCAGTGTCATGGATATTTATATGTTTATCAACTTGAATTTTTTCTAAATTGGATTGACTATTAGTATAAGATGTAAATGTGATATATTTTGCTTGATCACTATTCATTGCTAATGAATTGAATCGGATCCAATCAACTATTGATTTAAAATCAATTTATACTGTTTCCTTTAGTAAATTCCACGACTCTGATATATAAAATACAAGGGTGTCATCTAGAAAGCTTAAAATATGACCTTAGCTGTTTTTTTGAAATAGTCTGTTCCTGTAAGCCGTGAATTACAGCGGTCCAAGGACTGTACTCTGCGGAACTCCACATTGGATAAGTAAAGAAAAATGCACAGTCTGGTACTGGAATCAGAAATAAAAGTTTTTCATCAATGTAGAAATTCAGGTGTCCATGTGGAAAAGTAAACTTGTCAACGCACTACAAGTGACGAAACGTCATACTGAAATTCCAATTATGCAGTCTTGTAGAGAAGAAAAAGTGCCAATGTGTATGTGCGATTTATTTTGAAATCACACTACAAATGAAGTCAGGACAAAATAAAACCTATTCTGAGATAATCTTTGTTTTTTGTTTATTTTCGGAAGTACTCTGACTTCCGAAACTTTCTAACTGCTATTTTCTCAACCATCCAAATGGCCAATTTTGCCTCCATTCGACCGACTTCGTATCTTTTACCCTTCCCGCGGTTTCTCATATTGTGCGCCGATCTTTCCGGCCCGAGTATTATGTAGAAATCTATAGAACGCCAGAAAATCCTATAAAATGTCAGCTTGCATACCAGGTAGTTTTTAGGGTGCAAACAGGCATTTCTCGTTTGGTCAGTAGGATCGCTGTGAGCGTCCATCTATGGAGAAATAGCTCAACTACACGCATTGTTGGTTGCAAATGTTTTGTGAAGCCGAGTAGTCTATAGTTTTCATCTGTAAGAAGAAAGTTAGTTAAATAGCAAGATCGCATCTGGATGATTGTGTGTATTGGTCTACATGTGTATAAAAGCAGTCATATTTGCTGTGTGAGAAAATCATTACTAAATATGCTGCCTATGAAGTGTATCTATTAGCTGTGCCTTAAGGGTGATTTATATGTTGTCTTTTCGGAAGACAGGTTATGTTCAAAGTAATAAATTACGATTTTTTACGTTAATTATGTTTTCAAAAACTTTTAGAAGAGTAACGGGAAATCACCAACGCGCCCGCGTTGTGTGTAATTGCTGTTAGCATAGGTATATACGAGCCCCTTCCCACTTCAGTTGGCCCACTTCAAGATTTGTACCAAAATATGCCTTTATAAACTAAACATGACGAAACTATTTACTTCTAAAACAATTTATTTTCTCAAAAACATTTTAGATACACTCTAGTCGTAAAAAATACATATTTGAAATCGCTTTGACCTATAACTAATATAACATCTGAACAAATAAACAATGTGCGAATAAATGCGCGAAGTTAACAAAGCAACAATTGAAAGATTAGCATTGGGTAACATTACCTTTATTTTTTATTACGGCTGAAAATATTTGGGGCATAGTGTTAACCAAGTTCTGGTAAAAATTTGGTGTAAAACTACGAGCAGGATCTTGTCGTAGAACCTTTTTCATCTCGTGCCACAAAGTTTCAATAGGTGACAGATCTGTACTGCTAGGAACCCATTTCAAAAGTGGTACATTATTTTCTTCCATCCATTTTATAGCCTTTTTGAAGGTATGGCACGCTGCACCATCTTGCTGAAACACAAAGTCTTGGCCGGATGTCAAACATTCTTCCATCACTGGTAAAAGCGATTCTTCTAAAATTACCAAATATTTGTTTGTATCCACATTTCCATCACTAAAATGAAGCTTTCCTACTCCTTTTGATGACATACTGCCCCAGACCATAATGGATGCTGGAAATTTCACTTTTCTCTTCAGATAGTCAACATGGAATGCTTCACTTTTTTTGCGAATAACTCTACTGCGACTGTCACCAACACAAACTGCAAACCGGGCCTCATCACTGCATTGTATTGCACATCATTGTTGAGGTGTCCATTGTCTATGTTCTTTAGCCCATCTAAGTCGATTTTTCTTTTGCAGTGGAGTTAATAGTGGCTTTTCTTTGGCCTATAAGCAAGTTGTGCAACTTTAGGGTCTTTACTTCACTTTTTTTATAAGAAAACTTACCTTGCAAGTGCTTAATCCCAGTTTGTGGGCCTCCCTTTGAGTCGTGGACCTCGAAATACTCCTTCCAACAGCGTCACTCCTCAGAGCACTTAATTGTAAATGATTGGCACGCCTGTTTTTCACGATTATTCTTCTTAATGCTCTTCGGTCGGCATTTGTGATATTACTTTTTTTCACATATCGTGGCATAATATTATTAATTGAACCAGTTACGTTATATCTTCTAACAATATTTCTCACACTGTACCGCGATAAGTCTAACAAAGTTGCAATTTCTGAGTTTGATTTCCCAGAATTAAAAAATTAAATTA